GTGAATATTTTCTCCCATTCTCTAAGTTGCCTGTTTACTCTGTTATTTCCTTGGTTGTGTAAGCAAAGGCTTTTTAATTTGATCAAGTCCTATTTATTTATGTATTCTTTTGCTCTAATTGCCCATGGGGTCTTAGTCATAAAATTGTGGCCTAGGCCAATATCTAGAAAACTTTTTCCAACAATGTATATTTGAATTTTTATGGTTTCATGCCATAAATATAAGTCTTTTTATCAGCTTTGAATTAATTTTCATATGTGGAGATAACAGTCCTGTTTCTTTCTTAAGCATGTACCTATCCAGCACCACTTATTTAATAAATGCTTCTTTTTCCCAGTGTGTATGTTGTCTCCTTTGTCAAAGATCAGTTGGATGTAGGTAGACAGTCTTATATCTGCGTTTTCTATTCTGTTCTGTTGGTCTGTATCTTATTTTTGTACACATATCATGCTGTTTGGGTTACTATAGCCTTGTAGGATAATTCAAATTCTTGTAATGTGATAGCTCCAGATTTGTTATTTTTACTTTTGATAGTTTTCCACTTTGGGCTATTTTTTGTATTTGTTCCAAAGTATAAAATTGTTTTTAATAGATCTGTGAAATGTGAGGTTGTTACTTTGTCGGGTATTGCTTTGAATCTGTAAATCATTTTGGTCGGTAAAGACATTTTAACATTATTGATTTTACCAATCTGAGTATGATATGTGTTTCCTTTTCTTTGTATCCCTGGTGTTTTCTTCATCAGTGTTTCATAGTTTTCCTTGTAGAGATACTTAACTTCCTTGGCTAAGTGTATTCCTTAGTATTTTATTTTCTTCATAGCTATTTTGAATGGCACTGAGAATTTGATTTGCCTATCTTGCCTTGACTCCTTCTAGTATATAAAAATAGTCCTGACTCATGTACATAGATTTTGCAACCAGAGACTTTTCTCAATTTATTTATCTATTCTAGGAGACTTGGTGTTCTTTGGGATTTTTTTAGATGTAGGATCATATTCTCAGTCAGTGAAGAGCAACAGTTTGGCATCCTCATTCCTGATTTGGGTATTCATTTCTTTCTCTTGCCTGATTGCTCTAGCTAGGACTTTCAGTACTATGTTAAATAGAAAAGGTGACAGTGGGCACCCTTGTCTTGTTCCAGTTCTTAGGGGGGATGCTTTAAAGCTTTCCCCATTCAGTATGTCTTTAGCTTTGGGTTTGTTATATACTGATTTTATAATATCAAGATATGTTCTTTCTATATCTAGTTTGTCAATAGGATTTTTAATCATAAAAGGGTGATGGATATTGTCAAATTTTTTTCTACATTATTGAGATGATCTGTGAATGTTTTTTCTTCTGTTTATGTAGTGAATCTAATTTATTGATTTATATAAGTAAAAGCATCCCTATATCGCTGGAATGAAATGCACTTAGTCACATTAAATTATATTTTTGATGTGCTATTAAATTTGGTTCACTCATATTTGGTTGTGAATTTCTACATATATATTCCTAAGGGATATTGATATTGTAGGGTTTTTTTGTTTGTTTGTTTTTTGGCCAGAGCTGGGTTTGAACCTGCCACCTCCAGTATATGGGGCTAGCACCCTACTCCTTTGAGCCACAGGCACTGCCCTATAGTTTTATTTTTTGTTATATCCTTCTCTGGTTTTGATATCAAGGTGATACTGGATTCATAAAATGAGTCAGAAAAGAGTCCCTTCCTCTTCATGTTATGGAATAATTTCTATAGGGTGGGAACCAGTTCTTTGTAGGCCTGGTAGAATTGAGTGTGAATCTTTTTGGTCCAGGACTTTCTATTGGACAATTTTTTTATATATATATAACTGCTTCAATTTCTTTGCTCATGATTTACCTGTTCAAGATTTCTCCATCTCCCTGACTGAGTCTTAGGAGGTTGTATGTTTCCAGATATTTTTCCATTTCCTCCACATTTTCTACTTTTATGGATAGAGGGGTCTTTTTTTAGTATTAAAGGACGATGTCACGTATTTGTTGTATCAGTTATATCTCCTTTTTCATTTATGATTGAGCTTATTTGAGTTCTTTCTCTTCTATTCCTGGTTAATTTAACAAATGGTCTATTGTTTTGTTTATTGTTTGAAAGAAAAGAACTTTTTGTTCCATTAAGCCTTTGCATTGTTTATTGTTTTCCATTTTGTTAAGTTTTGCTCTGAACTTTGTCATTTCTTCTCCTCTACTGACTTTGGGTTTGGTTTGCATTTCCTTTCTAGGTCCAGGTGTGACATTAGATTGTTAATTTGTGACCTCTCTGTCTTTTTGATGTAGACTTTTAAGGCTATGAAATTTTCCCCCAGGGATGCTTTTGCTGAATGCCATAGACTCTGATAGATGATGTTCCCTTTGCCTCACTAACTCTCCTACTTAGTGAAAAGAAGATGAGTTCTCTGGATGATGCTTTTGTGCCCTACTCTGGAATGTTAACCCTGCAGAGGAGAGGAATGCACACTGAGAGCCTGTATGTACTGCATACAATCTGTTTTGTCCTATTCCCCTGTGGTTGTCGTTGTTCAGGTGAGTGCTGGATGATCTTCATGCAAAGTGGTGGAATGTTCTCCAGATCATTCCTGGAACCTTGAATTGGGGGCTGGGTGGGATCCTGTCCACCAAGGTTGGCATTGTGGGGAATGGCTCTGTCCAGAGTGTCCCAATAGAGGTGACATTGACAGCAAAGAAAGGCTATCTAGGCAGTGGTTATGGGTATCTGGGTGGTAGGCATTTGCTCCAACCAGGTCCAGATATAACAGCAGCTCAAAGCTGGGAATCTCTGGTGGATCACAGAACCTTGATGTGTTCTGTGGGTCCAGCAGCAGTGGTGGAGACTCAGGCGTAGAATCTTCAGGTCCATGCACAATAATATCCAGGGTAGATTCATGTTCCTAAGCAGAAGCTTTGCAGGCACTGGAGCTGAGCCTTGGTCACAGGGTCAGCTGGAGCCTCAGGGAAACAGAGTCTCATTCCCAATAGCTGTTGTGAAGCTGTAGAGTTGCAGCCTCTTTCCCAGGCACAGAAAGATCCTTAAAGCTTGGTCTGTTGCCTGGAGGCAGGGCAAAGGCTGTAGACCACAGACCGTAGACCACAGACCGAAACTGCAGGTGTAGGGCTATACAGACAGGGCTGGGTTTTGGCAGCACCAGGACTATAAATACTGAGGCATATGGTTGTTTGTTGGTGGTTCCAACAGCTGGAGAATCACAGAATTGGAGCCTTGCAGCATGGACAGTAGCGTCTGGTTTGAAGGATGGGAAGGGCTGTGGGCCAAGGTCCCCTGATAGCCTGGGACCTACTCCCACCTGGTCCCACTGAGGCAATCACCCATGGGTTCCCAGTTGGTGTCTGTGGCTCCCAAAACACCCCATCTACTCAGACCCCAAGGTAGTGCCGCTGGCTGCTTGATTCCAGTCACAAGGCATTACACAAGGTAAAGGGAACCACCTTTCTTTTATCCACATTTATTCCCTAGCCTAGGGGTGGGGGAATGATGCAAAGACTGCTGTGACAAAGTCAAACCTTGTGCACTGAGAACTCAAAGTGGCATCAGCAGCAGAAACCTGTACAGGCAACTGCTGGATCCCTTTTGTGTTCACTCTCTAGTCTCTCTACATACTCCAAGCAGCTCCCATTCTACAGGTCTGTGATAGTGGAGGGATCACCGCAAAGCTCAGAATACAGTGACTGGGTGAGCATGGAGCCCCTGAGTTCTCTCCACTTTTCTTCCTGCTGTAGATTTCACCCTAAAGTTCCCTTCAATCTTATTCTTGTTGAAAGACTTGCCCTATCACCTTCTTCACTTAGAGAATCTCCTGTTTCTTCTCCAGAATTTTACAATTTTCTTTAAAAGAGCCATCTCTAGATCGGCATCTACCAGCAACTTTTGATACTCTCCTTGAGAGCAGAGAGGATAGGCTGCTTCTAGTACTCCATTTGTCCCACTCCCCCCTTGAAGTCTTTCTCATGTTCATGTGTCCTTTAACTTTTGTACTAAACATCCTTTTTACTTCTACACTATTTTTTTACTTAGGTGAAATTTTTTTGAAATTACTTTCCTCTCTCCCCCCAGTTAATTTGATTTAGACTGTAATAATTTATAACAAATACTTCTATATTTTTATTAAAATACAGATAGTTATTCATGATGAAAAGTGAACCAATGAAACTATAATAAACATTTATTATTTCAGTCACTGGCATGCTTATCTATTTAAAAATAATTACTTTTTTAATCCTCAAAAATGTTTATTTTCATAAAGTGAAATCCAACGATTAAGTAATTTGTTTAAAATATAAAATTAAATATGCAAAAATTTTAAGAAGTGATGCAAAAAAACAGAGAAGATAAATCTGGCTTTACGGATTTGTGCCAGCTGCAATAACTTGAATCCATAGTAATTTTTCAGAATAATTAGTAACAAGTGTCAATAAATACCTGTCCATATGGTATTATGAATTTTTAAATTTTTTTGCGTCATAATAGAAATAACATGACGATAACAGCAAAAAAAGGAATATGTAATATTGATTTAACAAGCTAGTCTAAAAGTGAGTCTTAAATGTCGAAGACAGTATTGAGACTTAAGTTGACAATATTTGAGACTGAGATGGAAAAGTTACCTTCATGGATGACCAAGTCTCTCTTTCCCATATCTCGTAAAATATGAAATCAGCTCCTCAGATTTACTTAACGTGGACAAACTAAATAACCTACTTTAGAATTCTACTTTGTCCTTTCAATAGAAGCCAAAGTCTCCTACATTTTGGAGGTGTCTGGCAAGATAAACTGATTTCAAAATAGATCATGTGTGAGAATTTCCTGTCAGACCTTAAGTGACACATTGATGAGAAATATACTTTTTCCACTCTCACCTCACTCTCAGCCTTCACGGAACACTATGTGAAGATGACAGACATTGATTGATTTTTCTTGTCCTGGATTTATGCCTTTTGATTTCGCCTTTAATTTCCCACCTAGTTTGGGATTTATTATGAGACTAATCTGACCTTTGCAAGAAAGGATACCCAACTTTCTGCAGTCAGAAGGTATGTAGTGCTACTCTCTATCTCTCTCTACTAGCTTATCTCATTTAGTGGGAGATTCCAAGTACTAGGTGTCCTTGTGCAACTGAGGCACAATTAATCTGCAATAAAATTGTAGTAGAACTTTATTTCTTTAAAATACAAAATATACTGGAGGATTTCTCAAGTTTGCAAATTGTTACCTGTGGGACCTAGTCAATAACGTGTATCTGGGTTATTTAGCAAACATAATTTAATGGAAACCCCAAACAGAAAAGTGAACAACTGATTTTGGATTAGTAATTATTACAGTGTGTGTTGTTGAATAATAACATAATAATTTATATTTAGCTCAGCCATTATAAAATATTAAAGGAATGACTTTAATGAGGAAAGGCAAACATAATTCCTCAGACATATACATTCTAAGAAATGATTTCTTAATTAATATCAGAGTAAGGTAAATTATATTAAATGCTGAATATAGTTATAAAGCAATCAAAATATTTTGCTGAAATTACCAAATATTACAAAAAATGATATGTCACACCAATACAAAAGAATTGTCTAATGCTCTATTTTTTCATGGTATAGGTGGCATAAATAAGAAACAATAACAAAGTAATTGTGAAAAAAGATAATTAAAATAGCTAATATTCACAGAGAACTTTAGATATCAATTTGAGTGGTAGAAGTCTTATATTCATTATATTTGGTTTGTTCTTATTACTTCTTTAGATTAACAGAGTTGGTTATTGAATACCAAATAACTTTGTAAAGGTCACATATTGTGAACTGCAAAGCTAAAATTAATTCAGGCTCTGACTTCAGAGCCCACTGAGCCAAATAAAGTATATGTTATACTGTATGAATTATTACAAATTCTCACACAATTAAAGTGATCTTTACTGACATTGACA